GAAGGGCTAAAGGATCAGAATGAGGATGGGAAGGGGGAGAGAAGGAAGCCGAGCATTTTATTCCCATCAGCACTGGAGAGGACACCATTCTTATTTCCATGAACATGTAATAAAATGTACATATGGAAGAAAAAAACCACCCTTTTTCCATCTGAGCTAGTTTTAAAAGAAAAAAAAAATACTTGTAATGTACACTGAGTAAGAAATTACCAGTAAAACTTCATGAGATGCATAGGAAGCACACTGATGACTAAAGCTTAATAAGTGCAGGTACCATACTCTGCATAAGTTATGATGTGGGGTATGTATTTCACAGCTTAATCATCTTTGCATCTTATAAATTAAGTGTTGCTCAGCATGCACAGTAAAACTATACCGAAGGGTCTCCTGGAGTTCTAAACACTATTTCAAAATAATTCAATAAGAAAACATCTAATGGGAGCAAGGGGTAAATGGGATAGGAGCCTTAACAATATTAACAGGTTTGTAGAAACAGCCACATCCACCCAAAAGCATAATCAAGTAAAGTGATAGCTATGTTATAATCATCAACACTGAAAGTCTCTCTGCATGTTAAGCCTTTGTACTTATGATACAAACCTCTGCACCAGATGTAAAATCTGGCTCCCCTTTTCTGAACTGTACACTTGTGTATGATTTGTTTTCTGTCCGTGTGCAGTCCAGCAGATTCTCAAGGAGAAATTTAAACTTTGTGCATCGTGAACTGTATTCACTCCTACAAAGTTAGCTTTTTTGTGACTTGCATTTCTCATAAAAAATGTTTGTAAGGCTTTGCCTGAAGTGCATTTGAAAATAGGTATTCAGATGTTAGTTAGCAAGGGCAGAAGAAGTGCAATCAAGACATTTGTCTTTTTGACAGTATCTTGCCGATCTAAACCTGAACAATGCCACCCCACTATCCTTCTTGTTACTGTTTGGTATTTAAATAAAGCCTCCATGGTCCACTTCACACCACTTAACTGTCAGGAGTATGAATAACTGTAGCAGGTGGGCTAGTGTGGTTTTAAAAGCAATGTAATACAATCAACTGTACAATATCAGATTTCAAGGAATGCAAAAGACATCTAGAGCAGAGGCTGATCCTTAAGCAATCCTAATATTGGCATTAAAGTGTTCAAGATCCCGCAGGGACCATTTTATCTTTTGACCTCAGGCTTTAATTGAAACTTTAAACAAAATATATTACCTATTTAATACAGCTGAGCTGGACTCTTGTCTTTGTAGTGCAAGCTGCCATGCCAAGCAAATTAATTTGTGTAACCTTAGCACGTACTTTTTAATTTACATCAAAGCAATATGGTATACAGAAAATAAATACCAAACCAACCTTATACAGCTTGTTGAATAATTATTTTGATTCTAGTTTTAAAGTTTCAATTTTTAGCTGTTTTGGGTTCTGCTAAGGAAAAAAAAATGGAAAGGTTTTATTTCTCGGTACAATGCCAGAGAAACATATGGTTTCCTTAGCTGAGTTGTTGCACACCTGGCAAAATAAATCACAGCAACAGGAGACCAAAATCTTCTCTGCAACTTTCTCATATGCACAAACGTAGAACATCTGATGCTGGTATTACAGGCCTGCCTTTTGTACCATGAAAAATAATGCAAAGTCAAATGGATGCCTGCTTCTTGAGCCCCAATACTTCTTTTATCCAGTAAGAGGCAAGTTACAGAGTGTTTTAAAGGATGAGAGTCTGTCAGGCAGACTGACACACCAGAGGAATGAGTCACTGAGGCTGTCAGAGCAAAAGGCCAATAGAAGCAAGCACAGGAAAAGAAGTGTAACACAAACAGGGAAAGCAGGTGGTGTAAAGGCTTAGCAGTGCTGGAGTGTTAATGCTACTGCACTCAGGAGTGCTGGAGTTCAAACCTGATTCAGTTTAAACAGCTCATCTCCTGTTTATTCTCTTTCAAGTAGGTCATATACATCGTAAAGGAGGAAAAAAACCTTCCCAAAACTCGTCAATTACTTGAATAAGCAGTTATTAAAAATTAGAGGACACACTGTTTCCTTATATGATATGCCAATGTGTAGCAATATGTGTGCCACTCAACCAAGCAAAGAGATTGCCAGAGACTGGGAATAGTCATCACAATAACAACCATAGCAGTTAATCCTCAAACTGTGACTTTTCTTGAATTTCATGATAAACTGTGAAGACTTTTCCCACATTTAAAGAAATGGGGAAGACTAATTCCTTCTGCTACTTCCCAAGCAGATGGGGAGCACTCCCCAGTTTCTCCCGCTTCCTCTCCAGCAATGAGCATACAAGGAGTGAGGACAGCTCAGTCAGGTTTAGGCAGTTACAAGCACATGAGACAGGACTGGCTTATTTCAGTTCCTCTAGTCTCCCTTTTAAAGGCAAGAAGTGGGCAGACAAGTTTATGTAATGCTGTTTATCAAAGAAAGTGTTAAAGCGAACATGTTTATAATTTTGTCTTGAACATCAAAACAGAAATAAACACTCCAGGCGGCCTTCTGATACTCAGTGACACTGTATGAGCTGCAAAGCGGATGCACTCCTGATAACAGATGCAGTCGCCTTGTTCTCCTGTCACACAAAAAGCAAAGAGATGACTGAAAAGGTATTTAGGATTTATCTCACCCAACTCGAGCTACTAGGTTAGTCAGTTCCTTTTAGAGGAGAAGTATGCTTGCAGGGATTACATGTATAATCTTAAATAGATGTCTAAATCAGAAGGGCTTCATTACTCCCCAGAGGTATGGTTCTCTTTCCACTATAAAGAAGCAGCGCTACCTAGCTCTGTCTTGTCATCTCAGATAGGAGAGACTAAATGCAGCCATGTAGGTTTATCTAGACATATCCAGGACAGCTTTGAACAAATCAGTCTGAGTCCTGTTAGTACAGCTGCATTGCATTCTATTCAAGTCACCCAACTTTATGTAGCCTCGTGGATTACCTTTGCAGCATAACTACAAGCAACACTTCAGCAATCAGTGTGAAATAAGTTCTGTCTTCCCTGCAAAAGCTGCCGTCACAACCTCAACCAAAATACAAATATAAGCTACATTAATGTTAAATTGAAATTCTCAGAGCTCCATAAGGAGCTGAGGTACACTCAGTTGACCATGTCTTGTTGTGCCACCAGGACATCCATGAAGTGCTGGCAGCTGCTTAAAGGAAGCAGAAACCAGAGTATGGGCTAAGGAGAGAAGGGAGGAAGTGTAACAGGAGCCAAGCCTGGGCAAAGGACTGAGCTAGTCTTTGTGTTTTTGTGAGTTGAAAAATGCAAACCCCAGGACCAGAGTGACCTTGGATATCACAGACTGTGCTTACTAAGGAAATTGAGAAAGATCTCCTGAACCTAAAAAAGCAACCAAAAACAACAACAAAAAAAAGAAAAATCTGACTGAAGAAACTTATAGGTCATAGTGGTTTTAAAGGTAGCATGTGTTCATTGGAAAAGAAAAAGGGTAGCCCAAGCCTGCTTTGCAATGGGAAAAGCACTGCATGCTAGAAACAGCACTGGTTTACGCTTTCCAATTTTTTATTCTGAGGAACACTTTTATCAAAATTATGACAAATGTATCTACACTAAAGAGGACAGTCAAACTTCAGAGAATTTGCTGCGTATTTTAGCAGTCACTATAAGAGACCAATAGTAAGCAGTGGTTACTGTTGATGCCACCACCAAATTGATCAGTAAATGCTGGTAAATAAAAACTGATAAAACTATAATTTCACTAAGACTGACAGTGAGCAAAAGTATATATAATAATCAATTTGTGCAATTTATGGATTTTAGCTATTGGCATCAATCTGGTAAAGCACAGTGTTCAGGGAGAAGTAACTCTCCACTGACCTGTATGAACTGCTAAGAAATTGTTTAGACTGCCATTAGATACTTTGTCACTGTGGCAAGAGAACTACTTAATCTACCATTTACATTTTTCAAACATCAGTTACAACTATAATTTTACTTTTTCTTGTGCCCTAATACTTGTAAGATACTAATGAAAGATGTCTTTCCTGAATAAGTAGTCAAGAACTGTGTAAAAGCAATTGGTATCAACCAATACATTCCCTTGTATACGTGGCATTGGCAGAGGGGAACCACACAAAACCCCATATGCTTCCTGTTGATCCTAATTGCTTCCACAGATATTTTTAATTGCTCCACTTTGAACTACTTTAAAGTAAAGGCTTTTACATCCTTTTCTATCTCAAACAAGAGAATAACTGGGCCAAGCACTGAGGTTGCTTAGCAGAAACACATGAGCTTTGAGAGAGAATTACACTTACAAGCATCTCTGGAACAATAAGAACCAGCCCTCTTGTTTTCAGATCTGAGTACTATAAGTAATAATTCATATTATCTTCTTTCTTTTATCTGTTTAATATATCCCATATAAAAATGTGATGAAGAATATGAGAAACTGAAGTTAAACAAAAACATCCTACAGATAAATTGATTTTTTTTGCAGTACTCAAAGGACTCTTAAAATTTTGAAGGACAGATAGCAGGTCCTGGAAGAAAAATAAGAAGAATTCTCTCATTGTAGACATCTAAACTTAAGTACATCAGCTGGAAATCAGTTTTAGCACAACCTATATAAAAAAAAAAGCCCAACTATCTTTTTGGGTCTGTTTGCCTTGTTGGTTTACAAAGCATTTCAACATTTAACACCCACACACGTGGGTATATGGGGCCTCCAAAGTAGTGGAGGAGAGATTCTAGAGACAAAGAAGAACACTAATCCATGCATTCTAAATGTAAAACTGCTGCATTGACATTCTTAAAGACATCCAGTGTCTAACAGTCTAATCATTTATTGTACCTCGTCCAGCACTGCAGTTGCTGGCATTTTAGCTCTGAACCTAGTTTGGCTTGTACTGAAGGTAATTATTTTTGTGTTTTATTAGCTCATTAATTTGAGCACCAGTTGCCCTGGATAAGGTCTTTTGTTTCACCCTGACTCCTCAAATATCATTCTGAAACACTAACAGTGCACTTACCCATCATGTTATATAGGCTCTGTGGTGCAAACTGCCTGGGCATTTTCTGTATTGCTTCTTTGTAAACCGTAAGGGCCTCCTGAAAAGAGACACACAGGAGGGAAAACACTAAATTAAAAGGAATCCTTTCACATAGAAAGTAAAACCAAACTATCTTCCTTCCCCAAATGAAAGGTATAAAGAAAACATATAAAAAATGACACAGAAATTACAAGATTTCTCCTTTTAAATAGTGGGGTTTTTACCAGAATTTTACCAAATTCAGTGAGGCTTATGGACAAGAGATCAAATTAGTTCAAATATTGCAACTTCTTTTCTGGGCAAAAGTAACAAGAACATTTTTTCATACTCTTAATGACTGATAAGTTTATAAATATAAAATTCTATAGGCTGTCAAAGAATATGGAGTATTATTGAATGGCAGACAAAGGACATGCTGATGATTAACTACACTAAGTGACCTAAAAACAAAGAAATCATAGTCTACTGCCAAATAATAACAAAGCATAATCCTCACAACTGAAGTCTGCTCCACAGAAAGGATGAGATGCACTATAAAGTCAAGAAAGCCAGAACTGGAATCCTTTTGCAAATACGCTGTCTTGAATTACCTGATCACACATTTATTCATTCACCACTTTGGACACTTGCTGGTCAGTCTGTTAGCTCTGCATCAAACAGGCACAGCCTGTGAAGGCAGCAATGACCACCAGGAAGAAATCTTAAGTTTTAGATTCTTAAAAGCTTTTATATCTGCAGGTACTGAACTCCTGTGCAGACAACATGCTGCTTTTCTCTGTATATATGCATTAGCTGTCTGTATTTTAACCAATTAGTAACTCCATCTGACAGAGCTGGATGCAGCAGACAGATGACAGGGAATCTGTCCAGCTTGTGCATGCCTGATCTTAAACAGCTGACATAACTGTCATGGTAAGGAACACTTTACATGGATCAAAACCACTCACAACTCCTGTTCTGAAGTATGCCTGACAATGCAAAGACAGAATGAATTTATTTCAAGTACTGCTAAAGGTCAAACCTCAAGTGAATGTCCAGTGAAAACGGAGAGGAATCACAATAGTCACAGTTCTATGTATAAATGAAATGGGATTGCTTGGGTACAATTTATTAAAAATACCCAACCCACTTAGGTCAAGTTATCTGAAAATAACACACAATGGGATGCTTTCAGTCACCAAAGTTTTAAATTATTTCAACTGAGTCTTATTTTTGGAGACTTAACTGCAAGCATAATTGCACTTTTCCAGCTAAAGATGGACTTACTGTGTTTTGAATTATAATGCCTCTATACTTTAGGTTGACTGGCCTTTAATCAGGTTTTATCCTTGCACAGCAGCTATGGGTACAATGCCAAAACCAATGAACTAACACATATCAGATGTGACCACTGTTAATGTTGACTCTGACATGAGAACATCATGCTGCTAATTAACAGCATTACACCAGTGGCTATAGAGAACAAATATTCTCTGTAGAGAATGCTCATCTTGATCTGGTGAAATCAAATCAATTCATGCATGTGATATATTTTGAAAGTCTGGGTGGAAGCAGTATGTATTATTTGTATATGAAGGTTTTATAAACATATACAATTCAGGAGTCTTACCTCATAGTGTCCTTGTTCATGAAAAAGTTTTCCTAAGTTATAAAGACAGCTGGTAACAGAGCTTTTATGAGCATGAGGATCTTTCAGATTTTCATCAGGAATCTCTGAACACTTCAGAAAAGTCCTCCTGGCTTCCTCTGTCTTCCCTTGGTTCATCAGGATGATACCAGTATTTAAATATGCAGCTGTGAAGAGGGAAAAATGTTATCTTCTAATGGAGTTCTATTATGCTATATCTACTGTTTCATTTCTAAGTAATACCTGGAAGAGATCTCGCGGTGATCTAATTTGGTTTTTGAATAACATAGATCACTCATTGGTGTGTGAACATGTAACATACGTGAGCATATAAAAGGCAGAAGTTCAGAGACAAGGAAAGAAGGTAACTATAAAGACTGAGTAAGGAGAGAAGGAATCACTGGTTAGGCAGGGTGTTCTATTTTGTTCCTCTATTTAGGACTGTGTAAAGCATATAGCACCAATTTTGGAAGTGTTCCTAAAAATATACATGTACATAAAAACATATATACATACAGAGAAGATTAATTCCGAAGGCACAAAAGTCTCAGCCATCTTAAATAGCACCACTTAATTTTGGAACCTATTACTGGCAACACCTGAATGATTATTCTCCATTTTCCCCAGGCAAGAAAGAAAAAATGAAATGACTTGAAAAATATTTGTATTATTCACTCACATAAACATCAGGGACTGGCTGTAAGAAACAGAAAACAGGAGGCTGAAAATTTGGGCAGTAGTATCTGTGGCTTAAAACCCCAGATTAGAAACATTTTCAGTTCTAGTAATGCTTCTGAGCGTTACAATATTATCTGCTTCTTACTTGTACCACATTTAATGCAGTTGTTTACTAATAAACATTTGCTTTCTGACTTAAAAGCTTCTGGAAAAAAAAAAGCGTTATAAAAGAGCAGGAAAATTTTCTACAAAAACTATAGTCAGTATTATAGAAGCTTGTATAGTTAAAATACTTACAAGCTAGTGTGGGTCTGCTACCAATTGCCAGTTTATAGTAATGCAATGCCTCTGAAAACCTGCTGTTTTCCTGAAGTAGTAATCCTCTGCATAAGGGAAAAAAAAAGAAAAAAAAACAAGAAAAGAGAGAGTGAGGTGTGAGGTTACTACAAAGAGTAACTTGAAAACAAATACTGAAAACAAAACTTGGCTAACAAAGAAAAATATGCTTACTAGTATTTCAGAGATATAAGCATTCACTAACAGTTCAGTGTGAAAATTATTCCGTGTATAAAGATGGATTCATAGATATCAGGTGCATTCATATGGCTTTAACAAAGCAGATGTGAAACAGAATAGTTTGGCCTTTTTTGGAAACCAGGAGATTCATTTACTAAGTTGAGAAAATATTAGAATGCAAGATTTTTTTAAAGTGGATAGAATATGATGGAGGTATCTGTAAGTCATTAATGACCAGCCTGCCTTCTTGTCTTGACCTGAAAGAAGCAGGTCTTTTTCAAATGCCTTATAAAGTCAAGCACCCAGCCCTTCATGTGTTATGTTAAGGAGCCCCCTTGTTGAGCAGTTTCACTAGATTATTCACTGTACAGGTAAGCAAGCACTTGCAACAGTTCTGGTTTCTCCTGCATTCTTTACACTCTGAACAGATTTACTAACTGAAGAGATACTAAAAATTATACTGAATATTTCCAGCTTCATAATAGATGGGCTTTAATTTAGCTTTTAAGACAAACATCCTTGTGAATAACAATTTATACCAACCACCCACAAATTTCTGAGAAGTGGTCTGGACATGACTGACATGAATGTATACTGTATGCTTAAATGAAGGCCCAAAGCATTACAGCTTTCCAAAGTTTCAGAAGACTGAAAAAGAGCATATACAAATATATTAAAACCAGAATAATTTAAAAATCCTTAAAAATTAGTCATTTCAGAGTGGAGACTCAGACCTCAGTATCCAGGGGTAAACATTCTTTGTCATATAGCTCAAAATATCCAGGAAAACACAGCTGTTTTTCTAATGTGGAAGCAGTATCATATTTATTTGTAGTTTCCCTAACCTACAGCAATTTTCTTTTCTTCCTCTATGCTTTTATCTGCTGATAGCCTTTTGAACTGCAAAGAGCTTGGTATTCTTTAATCTCCAGTCTCAAATCAGAGAAGATTTTATTTCCCTCTAACATCTCAGGAACACTTTTTGAATTAAACCAGTAAACTTCAAGAGATGAAAAGAGAAGGGCAATTACCTAAAGTAGCCACCATCTATGTTGTTTGCTTCTTCTCAGTGGGTTAGGATTTAAAAGAATTGAGGAATATATCCTCTTTTTCTTCTATACTATCCTATCAGCATCACATTCCCTCACTTTGAAACTGTTTCCCAAATAACTTCAGATTAGGTAGTAAATAATTTTGAATATTAACAGAACTTACATTTAGTAGGTACTTGCAGTAAAGCAAACAATGAGGGAATACATTCAGGATACTTTTTGGCATGGTACCAAAGTTTGTAACTACTGTCAAGTATCTTGCAAATGGCAAGAGGTATGATCATCAGGATAGAAATAACATTTTCTAAATGTTCTAGAAGCTGCATTTTGTTTACTCTAAAGATTTTTATACACTGTCCTTAATTCAAGGAAGATTAATTATGGTACTTTGATCCTGTTTGCTATTGATAGCAGGAGAATTTGCAGGAAAAAAATGAGATGCATGGTTTGACATTTAAGGTGCTTCTTAATTTTTTAAAAAGCAAAAACATTCTCACACAAAATTTTGAGAACATTTATCTAAGAAATTCCATTCTTATTTTAGTTCTGGAATAAATAATATGACACTGAGAGAAGTAATACAGTAATTGGTCAACTTCACCAAAACAAATTACTTTGGTAAGTGTATAGTATTTGTGGTTTCGTGATTAAAAGAACTTTTATTTGCAATTATTACAAATGAATCTTTTGCATTCACTACCTGCTCTAATACTGACACTTTTGATTTATTACGTGAGACTTTGAGGTGTTTTTTTTTTTAACCTCTCTTCCAAAAGATGTTTTTCTTTTAAAAGCTGTTCCATTAACTGTCAGTTTGTCAGTGTGTGTCTCTCTCTCCTCCCCCTCTCTTTCTCATATACATAACCCAAGCAGTTCAGATGAAGGAATGAGTGCTGAATTCCACCTAATAATTAGTGTTTTATTTGTACTTGAGTTTGTGAGAAGAAAGAGAGGAAGAATATAATCTTACCAAGGCATGAAACTGCCTCTTCTGCTTGTGAATACTGTCTTGATTGATCACTAGTTTTCACTGTTACTTCTGGCAGTACAAATATTACTAGATTTATGAGTGTCCAGTTCTAGTTTGAGATTAAACAAAATCAGGAAAAAGCTGCCTTCTCTAGATGCAGTGAAAGAACATCCCTCCCCTTGCAGGCACTGCAGATTCCAGTACCCTTCCCAGTGGCCAGGGCATTGGCTGTATAAGGAATTGTCCACTAGAGCCAGGAGCAGATCCGTTCTTGACATGCCTTTCACTGCTTTGCTTACACTGCAAAATGATAACTGCTCTTTGGAGATTTTTGGCAAAGGGGAGAAGGAGCAGAAAGACCACAAAGGCATCAATACAGTGAGAAGTGTTGGACATAAGCCAGAGGTGGAGCAGAGCAGCTGACACATGTTGAGTATGCACCTAACTTGTGTGGTTACAAACACATAAAGCCTTCCTTTTCCTTACTCAAGGATGAACAAAGGAAAGAACATCCTTGAAGTAAGGATGCTTGATACAAAAGAGTAAGTTCAAGTGATAAACTTGGATGAAGACCTTAAAGTCTTCCTGGCACTTTTAACTTTCTACAGTTACTAAAAATGCCAAACAATCTAAATTAAAAAGTCTAACTGCCAAAATTCCCCCACCAAAAAAAACCAAAAAGCAGGAACAGTTGCTTCAAGTTGATACTTCCAAGACGTTTTATTCTCTCCAGCTCACCTTCCCAGTTGTAAGGCAGACAAATGAGAATGTTAAATGAAACATGCAACTTCTGTGCAAAGACAGTTTACTGACGTAACTGGAAAAAATGTGGCTTCTTTAGTAAGACAAGTACCATAAAAGAATAAATGAACATGAGGAAGGTCTTCTTCACTGTGTGGATGACCACACAGTGGAACAGATTGTCCAGAGAGGTTGTGGAGTCTCCCTCACTGGAGATATTCAGAAATCCTATGGACACAATCCTGTGCCACGTGCTCTGGGCTGGCCCTGCTTGAGCAGCGAGGTTGGGCCAGATGACCCACTGTGGTCCCTTCCAATATTTCTTTGATTCTGTGACATACATAAAGATAAATGTATTTGGAAAAGAAAAAGCTACTTAAACCACAGGACACACAGTGGAAAGTTATAAACTGTCCCTGAATTAATTTAGGATTAATTAGGAGGCAAGTTTTAACTATCATGAGTAGCAAGATTCTGGAACCTTACAATAGGATTTTTTTTTTTTGCCTGAATTACTTCTAATCATTTATGAAATGGAGGATATGTGCTGACTGCTTGCAGGAATAGCAGACTTCTACAAGTGACTCAGGAAGTTGCTCACAATTGTGTTTTTTTAAAATAGGAAGAAGACTAAAGAGAAAAAAAATGAAAAGCAAGTTCTGAATATCTGGAAATTATGCACATCATTTCAGTAGATAGAATTGCTCATTTTGTTCATGCAGGAAAACACTTCTCCCCAGATGAGTTGTTTGCAACCTTCCTGAATTCTTTAAGCTGCCAACTATCTTGCTTCACCAACAACGAAAAATCTTCCTGTCTTCCGCATCTGCTTTAGTTTTGACTGAAAGTCACTAATACTACTGGCACAAAAATGTTTTCGGAGACCAGAAGGCAGTCACAGAATACAAATAAGCAGTAGATGGTCTATGGTCTTTCTCAAGTTTCGTAAGAATTTCTTCCTGTTGGTAGTCCTATTCTAGTCAACCCGTCTGCTTACAAAGCAAACTCCTCAGTGACTAAAACTGCCATAAATTGGCCAAGTACAATACACAGGAACAGCAACTGTCAAAGTAAACACACGCGTTGGTGAAATATTTATAACATTTTCGACCCAGGTACAACATTGAAACAGTTTAATCAATTTTGTTTACTGGTTTATAACAACTAATAAAGGGCCTGTTAGCTATTACTTTGCCATGACTGGGGTTCTTTCATGCCTCAAGCCACATTCATCCCATTGATTTCAGGTAGGATTATCTACAAAGGACTATATGTACTTAGATGCTGCACTGGCAAACTAAGAAAGGAATAAAAGAAAATCCTCTTTTATTCCCCACACAGATGTGGCTCCAGTCACACAGCAAGAGCAGATCTGCTTTGCCTAAGGCAATTCTTTCACCGTCATTTGCAAGTGGGTAGAAAGGTAAGTAAGGATGTTACCACAAAACATACATTTTTAATCAATAAGAACTCAAAAATACAGAAAATAACCATTTCCTTTGCAGAAGTCACTAAGCAATTTATCACTCCAGTAGTGAAAAAACCCCAAAAACCAAAACTAAGCAATCATCCCCAAAACAACCTCTAGTCTTTCAGACAACACAGCAAAACTGTTACATTCTCCCAGATCTGGGGAAGAGCTTCCCAAATGCAAGAAAACTGGTCAGCAAATACAGTCCCATTTTTTTCCTCTTACTGGTACAGTTTGGTTGAGAATACTACCCTTTCAGAACCCTACCAATTTGCACAACCTCTATTTCCTTGTCAGAGGGAGGGCTGCTATGAGCATGAGGAATAGCATTGCTCCTGTCTTTCTCACTGCTCTGGACAATGGGCAGTGCTGTGCTGTGTCTGCAGTCCTCAAACCAGATGCTTATTCCCTCTCATGTGCCCCAGCAGTCAATATAGATAGAGAGCTGGAAAGAACTTCCTACAAGAGGGGTCTTTCTTGAAATTGAATGGCAGACACAAACCATTACTTTCCTAATTTTATAAAATGGTGGAAGTTTATGTAAGGACTGTTAGTGCCCACAATTTCAAATAATGACACATGTAACTGAATAGCTAGGTCACTGAATGTCTTTCACCTCTGAATATGACTTTGAAAACTATCTGCACTTCATATAGACCCTACAAAGTGCCCCAGAGCAGAGTTTTGCACTGCAGGAAACCACCAGTCACCTAAGTGACCTTTGGGTGCCACCTCAAGAGCTGGACTCAAAACACAGCAGGGTTTTATCAAGACATCTTTGGTTACAGCAAGACATAAATTTTAGCTGCTGTCTTTGACAGAGGAAGAACTAGCTGGCAAAGCAGAGATTAATTCCAAACAGGTTTGCAACAAGTTTGCATTCACAGCTGAGAAAAACAGGAGTTTTTAGTACTTAGACATCAGATGACACATCCTCTTTGCTTTTTAACTCAACATCCTGAATGATAAAAACTTCTGGGCTATCAAGGAAGAGGAACCATAACCTTGACCTGTTTCCTACTAGGTGATTGCTGCAGGAACTTTGGGGAAGGTTCAACCACAGTTCAGCACAGGTTTTTAGGTCATACTGCTTTTAGAGTTTTTGGTTTCTGATACGGAGATTCTTATGCCAGCACCCTTAAAAGGCAGGGAGCACATTTTCCAACATATAAAGCCTAACAACAACAGACAAGGAAGAATTTTACTTATTTTCACCTAAGGATGCACAGTTTAACTTTGCTTCTAAAACACTGCAATCCTACCCTTTCTAGGATAGGAAGTCTTCAGTAGTGGTTGACATTTCTAACAAAAGCATTAAAAATTATTGATTCAGCATTATTGATATAATACCCTAAGTTTTCCAATGTAGTGTTTATGGAAATTCATAATCCAACCTTATTCAAAGAAGTTAAATTATTTGAATAACAAACTTGTACTCACAGTGCTATATCAGTAAAGAGAAAATGAGATACTTCAGGAGAGGAGCAAGGGGATGGCTGATTGCTAGAAATTCATCTTTTACAGAGCACTGTACACTCCAAAATTACAACATTTCAAATTATTAGTATAATTTTAAAGGAATATTTGATATCTATGTCAGATTGAGAACATCCTTATAATCACATGAGAAAATCAAGGTATCAGAGATTACTATGTGGATGACAAAAGAATGCTCTAAGCACAGCCAGGCCTAAACACAAGTGAAACACTATATGCAAAACTGTCTTTTAACAGATAAACAATTTTACTTTAGACACTAATTATAAGCAATTTGAAGCAATACACAAAACCCCACAAGCTAAAGCTAAAGGTTACAATCATAAGGCAACAAAGACTGAAAAGCTAAAGAAAACTAAAATAGTTTGTTTTTAATCTCCTGAATATGGCTTTGTTTGAAAGAATAAACTATTTCTCTACAGCTCTGTCCTTGGTACTTCACAGAATTAAAATGGATGGTTTCCTCAGTTAAAAAAAAAAAAAGCAGAGAAAGATAAGTCATTTTATGCTGATTTACTACCCTATGAAATTTAGTTCAAATCAGCTGAGCTACATAGCTTTGAGAACACAAATATAACACGTTCATAACCAGGCAAACCTTTAAATGTAGATTATGTAGTTATGCATTAATGCAGTTTAAAAATTTTTAAATGGCAAAAGCAGCTGTAACTCAGAGCCATAGGGTATAAGTCGAAACCCAAAAATACAGCATTGAATTCAGCCATTTATCTAGTCTGTTAAATTCTATGGCTATTCAATTTATAGAAAAATAAAGAAAGAGATCAAGCACTTCTGCTTACGTAGTTTCTCTCTTTGTTATCCATTAAAATTGTGAGTTAAATCTCAATAATTTGTTCTTTAGAAGAGAGCACTTCAATTTGTTACTGCTATGAGTGAACACTGAGGTGCACATGCCAATTAATTTGCATCAAATACTGAGGCATAGGTGCTTAGAAACAATAACAAATATGTGAAAGGTATACAGTGCTTCTAATTAACTGTAAAGATACTTTTTTTTCCAGAAGTTCTATGGAGTGATTGTTTTAGTTTCAAAGGCACATACTGAAAACCAGAAACAGCAAAACTGGCTGGCCTCTTGTAAGCACATGTAAGACACATTTTCCATTACAGAAGATTTTTGTAAAAGGCTCCCACAGAACTACATGCCAAGCATGGGTTTAACTTGCAAAGGAGCTCTTGAGGGTTTGTGCTTAAAAGAATTGTTTCATTTGTGTAGTATCAAAGGACACTTCATTTACCATCTATTTTTCATGCTGGATATTGAAGCATCCAACACTGATAAAGCCTATGAAAAGAAAAAACGATGCAAGCTTTTTCAACTACTGTTGAATAACTGAAGATTTTGTAAAGCTTGTTTAAAAAATATAGGATTCTATTGTATTCAATGCAGTAGTAGAAAGGCTAAGAATTAAACTTTACTTCTTATGCCATATATGTTCCAACCAAATTTTAGATAAAATCCTTCCACACAAATTCAGTAGAATTTCAAAAACTTTCTTGTTCAACAGAGATGAAGGTTTATAGACATATATTTTGTGTATCAATGGAAAACTGGAAGACTAGCAGCTTATTCTGAGAACAGCAAAAAGACTGAAATCTGATTTCTTTTATGTCCCTGTCTTGATCATCCAACCCCCTTTCCTTTTCTTACCCTGCTATTAACTTCAGCTTCTCTCTACAACATAGTAAGAGACAAAAGTACTGTACAGGCTTACAAAAAATTTAATAGTTATAATTTTCACCTTCAAAACGAATAGCATATAGGAAATATACATGTATTAATCTTGTCACTTATGTTCAACAATCTCCTGCTCAGTTCAGAAGTTATTTTTTAAATGTGAGCAGAGATGTGTGTTTAAATGTGTGCCTAACACAGAGGGAATTTCTGTGCATACATGTATTTGTGTAACTAAATGATTAGTAAAAATACACATAATATGAAAAATTGATTTGATTTTGGAACAAAAATGCTATCATTAAATTATTTTGAGTTTCAGTAAATCAATTCATTTGCTTAACTGAAAGGCAAATTAAAGAAATAGTCAACTTCCTTTTTAAACAAGGAAAAAATTATTAAAAAACTATTATGATAAACTTCTTTTTCACATATTATAAGCAGTCATTTTAAACTGAACTCACAGGAAGAACATTATTTTTTGATTGAATGATTGATTGATTGATTTGAAGAGGCTTACTATTTGAATGCAGTTGTTGCACATTTTGTTTATCTGACAGTCAGACTTTGCTGCTGCATGCAGGATATTATTTTCAAACGGCTACATATGGAACAGCAGTCACCTGGGTTTTGTACTCCACACACATCACAAAACAAGAGCATGTGGCTGGTGGAGGTGACCAGCTTGCTGTGCTGGCTGGGTCAGGCAGCAGGGGAGGAAGGGCGAGGGCCAGCAGGAGAAGCAGTGCTGAGCAGGGCACAGGTGTGACACCCAGCTGGGACAGCCAGGGAATCCGTCCCTCCCTGCTGGGACACACAGCACCATCCCACCTCAGGGCAGAGCTTGGCACGATGCTCGCTTCTGTCCTCATGATCTGGAACATTATTGAGATGGGAAACCTTTTCCCCTGATGAATAATTATTTTGATGCTCATGTTACTCTTACTCACCTACAACAGGGTTCAAGTAATTAAACTTTATTTAACCTATGCTGCTCTGAAGTCAGTCACAGGAGAAAAGTAATTTGCTGTTCTAACATTTCAGACCACTGGAGCTGACAGAAGGGTATTAGTCTATGCGTGAAAGGGCTTACACCCACTCTGCCCAACAAGTGTTATCCAGACTTGAAAAAGAAGTCTTAATAACACCTTGCAGTTTAATTGAGTCTCAAACAGATGGAGGGCTACAGCTCACCAACTCATCTACTGGTACTCTGTTTAGTGTAGGGTTTTTTTTTTTTCTTCTTTTGAAGCAAATAGATTTGTAAGCTTACCTTGTCCATACCCATTATGTGTATATACGATAATGTTGACCAAGAAAAAAATCCTGTCCACCCCATAGTTTAAGGAGCACAATTAATGAAATAACTATTACAAAGCAACAAATAAGATTGTCTCCATTTCCAACAACTAAATCAGTAGCTCTATTCACAACAGGTTTCAAAGACAATTCAACCCCAGGAAAGCCACACATACTTACAAATTATAAAGCATATCAGCCATGTTGCTGCGGTAGTACAAGGCATTTCTATAGGCGCTTTCAGCTTCAGAAATCTTGCTCTGGCTCTTGAGAACATTTCCAAGGTTACCCCATGCTGTCAAGAGGAGAAAACAGTATTCAGAAAGAGCTACAATCCAATTACACATGACAGAGTATGCAAGTATCAGGAAGTTTCTCAGGGAGACAAACCCCACAAAGAAACTATTTTTATGGAACAGGAGGGGAGGTTGTTTTTTGGGTTTTTTTTTCCCCAGCCCTCTGGTTCTCTGCATCTTACTGTGGGACTCACATTTCATAGAGGTGATTTACATGCAGTCTGCATGTATATAGCTTTCGGGTGGGAAAAGGAAGTTTTTTACAAAAAATATGTCTCTAGAAATTACTGTAACAAAGGGAAAGGACCATTTTATTTCATACCACCTATGAACAAAAATCACCAGAGTCAATTGTGGAACTGAGGCATGTTTCTAGTTTTAACTTTTTTTTTTAAGGCTATTGACTCTAAACAGCAAGAAATTTTTCCAGAGTCAACACAGTCCTCACTGAAGTGTTAAAATTTAACATATGACACAGGAACTGAAAGAAAAGTTAGGTAAATAACTAGGATTAAAAATATGCCATATGCATATAAACATACTACACAGATAACTAAAATGCATTTTTTTCTACTAGAAAAACATTTGGTCCCTTTCCATACAATTTATTATGTTACAAAATGTGCTTTTATAGCCTATCTATAAAGGACTTTAGGTAAAAAAATATTTAAAGTTCAACATGTGTTCTCTTTGCAGTTTTGTTGAGTGACACAAAAGCTACTTAAAAAAAGGAATTCGAACTAACATTTTATAAAACCACAACCTCTATTAATCAGAATTTAGGAAGCTAATTACAATTACAGTACGTGTGAACATGAAAAAAAAAACAACACTATGCTTATAAATGCAAAGTTGCTTCATAAAAAAGTTCTACTTTCATACTTTTGTAAATGAAAGAAACCAATGGAAAGATGATGTTTGTCCTTTTCACCAAACACAATGTAAGTCAGAATATTCTTCCCTCCAGATGCATTTAAACATTAGCTTAAGTAGCAACTAACTCCAATACTTCACTCGAGCCCTTTTTTGTTTTCAAGAATTTGCATCAGTTCTGATTAATGCAGAATATTAATATAACACTGCTATGTAGATTCGTAATTGAGATAGGTATTTATTTTCCTCAGAAATTGCATCACTTTCAAGCTGCTGTGGTTTGTTGCAGAATCATCCTACCACAGGGATGGAAACAGCAGCAAACACAGAATTTCCTCTGAGCAGAATAAAACTGAGGAAAAAAATTAAATCTATTTAGAATTCATAAAAAGCATGTAATTCAACTGAGCACAACATATTCTGTGAAACAAAGAAAGAAAATATATGCAGTATTTCCATAAGAAAAGAAACTATCGCTTCTGTGAGTCAATTCATTTTACCCTAGTATTTAGTGAAAAATCATTTATTAATACTTATTGATCCATAAATCAACAAAAGTCACAAAATATTCCATCATTTTCAAATAAAGCTGCTAAAACTATTCTCAGGTTCACTCAACTTTTACACTTGGCTAGCATATATGCTAAATTCTGAAATTTCTCTATTACTACTACTCTTTCTTTTTTACAAAGAGAAAATACTTTAGAAGTTCCAATGAAACTGACTAGTCAGTCTGTAGGCATTAACCCTTGGAAGAAAAACACAGACTTACATATAATTTTTTAAATTAATTTGTGAAAACATAACCTTATTTTTCTTCTGCAGTAAATGAGCATCCAGTTTCCCATAACTGCATGTTCCATATAATCTACAGGGATTTTTGTTTTCACTCTAATCTCCCATAACAGAGCATTACATCAAATGACCATTTGACCTATTGATAACAATTTCCTGCCACAAAGTTATTTATTCCCAACCATTCTGAAGCTCAGAAAATGAAAGGATGCATAAAAGGATGATTCAGTTCATCTTTCCATCTGTTAGACTGGAAAGACACTGTTCACACTGTTCAGTGTAATAATTTCTCCTCTACACTTCATTCCATGTCTTAGGCTCTAATAGTTATCTGAGTTAACATAATTTCTAAGATAATATTTTAATTTACATTTTGCAAATTATCTGTGCCAAGCTTTTAATATCAATCAATAATTAATCTACATTATTTAAATTTAGTCCATTTAGACTTTTTGTCTAAACCTGTAAAACTGTGAATTATTAACCTTATGTGATGCCCTAGAAGAAGTGACAATAGCAGAAAAGAGCAAACATAAAACATGATAATCTGAAATTTTAACATTAATGGAAACATAAAAACCAAGGTCTTTTCACTTACCCAAATATATAAATTTGATATAAATATTCATGTCTATTTAAATACAGAACTAGTAATAGGAATGATTTAGCTCTGGCTGGTGATGAAGCTACACAGAGCATGTGTAGAGATGGTTCTCATACACCCTAGAAGTTATGAACAGCTAATACCTGCAGTAAGCACATCCTCTTGGGTTTTGGCATATGAGGAAGAGTAAAAGAGGACGGTGTACATACAGGAACTGCTCAAGGAACTTCACTCCTGCTTTGTCTTAAATAATGCAACTAACTTCAGGGAGAAAAAACAACTTCAAATTATTGACTTCCGTATCTTAAACAACATTTTTTCTTCAAAACTGTAATAGATTGGTTCAACTATGGAAACATTCAGAAACAGAAGCAAGGTTATACCTAAGTGAATCCACATCTGTGCTAAAAGCCCACCCTATGATTCTAACTGAATTCTAGCAATCAACTATTTTCCATCTGTACAAAGTGAAAAAAAAAATAAACTTGGTCAGCAATTCTGGAATTTAGAATGGATGTATATTCTAATTATTCTTTACAAACATTTTTCATTTAATATTTATATTAGCTAGAGTTGCAAAAGGCAACATTTAACATTCAGAAGATACTGAAGTGTATGCATATATGTCACATTTTAATTTTTAATTAAGAATTCAAATTTCCCCATACTGAAGACCCTATTCAGCATAAGAGAAAAAGGAAGCTGTGAATGAAAGAGCTTTGCAGTATTTACTTTTTTCCTCCTGCTTAATTGTGTGTCCACGAACAAAGAGACCAAAACAGTCCCAGGTCTTTAAGAAACAGTATTTCATCATAGCATGGGAACAAATATAACAATCACATCTCACCTACAAAGCAGTCAATCCATTCAAATTTTACTTAATTGCTTAATTTCCCATAGATCATACTCAATATTAACGGGCACATTAAAAATTAAATCAATTTCATCAGCTTTATCATAAGTCAATTATAAACTGAAGAATCTCCTAATGCTTGAGAACTCCTATGGTAGTTACTTGTCTTCGCAGAAAAATGAAACTTTTTAAAGGAATTTTGTTCTTCTGTTTGTTGTTTGGGATTTTTTAAAAATAAGTAGCAGCACTAAGTAGGAAAATAAATAGTTGTTTAAGTGTTATAATTTTGGCCATATCCAACTAGACCTCTGATTATCAAACTTTAAAGATTGCATTACGCCACCTTGCAGTGAGAGTAGGTCAAGTTCTCAGGCATTCAAGTGTTTCAAAACGAAAATGAATATAATAAACGCTAGTTTCACGTTTAACGTGCTTAATTTCTCAAATATCCCAGAGAAACTGACGATTATGATTTAACAAGACTGAAAAATACCAGGCTGGTATATTAAACCTACTCTAAGCACTTTCCTTCTGGAAGAGTGCAAGACAAACAGCAAAACAAGAAAAACACTGTCTAATCTAATCTGCCTCGATTTAAGAAGCACATCTTCTAGTAAACTTTCAGTTTGCAACTATGAAAACAAGTGAGAAATGGAAATGAATGTCTACAAACATCTTTGTTTAAATAAACGTTTCCTTTCTATTGAATCAAAGCTCATGCTATGCTATTCAGTGAAATGAAGATAATAAAGCAACAAAGTGTCACAGAAGGCAGATGCATTAAAAGCATGTATGTTGATTTCTTGATTCAAAAGTTTGCTTTAAATTAAAAACAAATTAACATCACAAATCATTAACAAAGATAACCCAAAGTATTAAATTCTGATTCCTACCAGGCACACCCATATAATCCATGAAAATTGGGTAATAATGAAATCTATTTGGAAACTGCCATTCTATTAATATATCTGTTGTTCAAACACTGTTTTGTGCTGAAACACGAAGAGGAAAAAATCCAACTAGAATTGCCTATTAAATCACTCAAATACATCCTGGTAAACATTTAAAAATAGCATAGCAAAGAAAATGAAAATGCTGCCTTTCCTTGTATGTTATGAAAACATACTTGGAAACTAAAAACTTAAAAAAGACATTCCCTATTCACATGAAATTACTCAAGTTTGGTAATACTATTCTCACGTTATGCTATCAGATTTACTCACACAAGTTAATCCACAAATTGATGAATACATTAAGGAGTGTGAACTAGATTATTATTTGAGTAAAACAAACTACTTGAGCAAAGACTGAAGTATTTAGGGAACAACTCAGTAATTTGTAAGCAACTTGTCAGCAATTCTAAACTACAACCTTTAGTTCACAGGAAAATGCACATCAAGCCAGGAAAACCTCTGTGGAGCTTTACAGATATTTGTGTATTATTTATTATTCTTTAGCTTGTGAAATTAGAAACAGCAGTTCCAGTATGCATTCTCTCTCTTTAAAATCCTTCCACATTTCTTCTGATTTGTCTATGGAAAAGAAGTGAATACATGACAATTAGAATCTCTATTTCTTTTCTTCAGTAGTGTTTAAGAATGAAGCAAGGCTGGTCCAGAAAGAAAAGCCTTCACTTTTTTCTTCAAGGGAGGAAGTTTCACTAACAGAGGAATGACAGGCTTCCCCCAAAAACCTCTGAAACCTCAACTGCACATCCATAAAAACATAATGAAGAGTTCAACATCTAAAACAGTTTTTCTACAATGCAGAGCCACTACCACTCACAAAGACAGCCAGAAGAACAACTAGATCATGCTTAAGTGGTTTGAGAAGGGAAAAATTCATCTAAATGCTACAGGGTGCTACTTTCAAAG